GGGCCGCGGCGACTGTCGCCAAGTTGGCGCCCACGCGCGCCCCGGCGGGTCTCGAACCCGGGTCCTTGAGGCGGACGCGGAAAGCCATCCTCCCTTCCTGAGCTCTGGCAGGTGCTGGCAAAGTGGGGGATAGAAACTTGGCGACCTTTGGGAGTACTTTGCTCAGAACCAGGAGCTTAGTCCCTGCCGTCCTTGCCCCTCACCCAGTTCTCCCTCGGTGCCAGAATCCAGATGGGGTGCCTTCGTTTTCGTATTATCTCTGCTTTTCAAAAAAAAAAAAAAAAAAAAATGCTTCTTAAAGGGAAGTTGAAAGTAGAAGGTGTTGGGGGAGGTGGCGCTGCTCATTGAAAAACGTTGCTTGGGGTGTAGAGTACATATTGCTGGAGCACTCTGCAGATTATATTGTCATCTTTCCAGAAAAATCACTATGATGAGTGTCTCCTGAATGGAACCATGTAAGTGGTGAGAGACAACCCCTGGTAAGGTTGATTTGACATCCAGCAGGACAGCTTTACACCCAGAAGCGTGCTCGACTTTGGAACCCAGGTTTTTGTTGTTTTCCAGTTTTCGTGATTCCCAAGTCCCTTGCATCCTCAGATCCTGCATAAAGCAATTGTGTGGGGGGTCAGTTTGGTGGTTCAGACTACTTTTCTGAAGTGGGGTCTATGCATCTGCCCAGAATTCCCTCAGTTCTTTAGCAGAAAACTTGGAACCATTCAATGTATGTTAGTGAAGTGGTTTTTGCTGCTTGGCAGGATTATATGTCAAGTACATTACGGACTTTTGTCACAGAGACAGAAATTAATCTTGAATGAAGATTTTCAGGCATAACTGACCTCTTCTAAATACTGAAGCTGCAGTCCCTGACTCTTTGAAAGAGTATTGGCTAAAGGCTTTCATAACTTGGACTTTGAACCTGTTCATTTCCTTGAAGTAAGAGGAAGGATAATAGTAATATTAAATTCAGCAGGGCAGTGGTAGTCATGCCTTTAATCCCATCTGGGCTGGCAGGTCTGTGAGTTGACAACAGTCTGGGTCTAATTATGGAGTTTTTGGCCTGCTAGGGCTGCATAGGTGCCCCAACACTTTGGTAGGGAGATTTCTTGTTTAATGGAAAGCTGTCAGGTAGTGAGAGGATGCTTTTAAAAAGCATTTCTTGATCTTATCAGCATCTTGCTGACTTAAATGGTATCTAGTGATGTCGAATAGTTGTTTATGTTTTCATAAGAAAATTGCATTGCCCTCTATGATTTACCCTTCCATGAGACACTGTCAGGTTTTCACAAATGAGCCATGACCACTTTCATAAATTTATCTGATCCCTCACAATTTTGTTAATCAGGGCCACAAACTTTTTAAAGTAATAACACCGTAAGTAACGCTTGAAAATAAACATTTCTGAACATTCTTGGCTCAGGTGACGGGAGACCCAGTGGTAGGAAATGCCTAAGTCTTTTGAAGCCTCTGGAGTTTTCTTCAAACCATCGAATTTAATTCATTATTTCATTGACAAGAATCTGTGAGTTGAACATCTGAGAATTTTTATTATTATATAATATACATTGAGAGAACATCTTGCAGGGAATTTTAGAAATGATCTTTTCATATGCTAATGTTAAAGTAGGTTGGACCCAAGCTCATGTTTCTTCTCTTCCCTTCTTACCTTTCATTTTCTTTTCTTTTGAGAAATCTTGACAGGCAGAAACTCAGAACTGGGAAGTAATATGTTTTAAGCTTCCCAAAAAGTTGACTTGAACTTATAACCATAGTTTTAATAGTTTACTTCAGTCATTAGTTGCTTCTTTTTTGAGAATATGAGATATTAGTTAAGGAAGTTAGTGTATTTATTGAATATTTGCCTTTTGAAAATGTAAAGACTGATGAGAGAACCAATGGTTTGGTCTGTATCCTTGGTGTCCTAGTTAGGGTTTCTCTTGCTACAATAAGCACAGGACCACCTGCCCTGGAGTTATACTACACACAGTGAGATAGGCCCTCTCTCATCAGTCTTTTATCAGTCAAAAAATACAACATAGACTTGCCCACAGACCCATCTCTTGTAGGCATTTTCTCAATCAGATTCCTTCTTCCCAGGTATATCAAAGTTTGTGTCAAGTCATCAAAAGCAGGCAGCATCCTGGGTTTGTGAAAAAAAAAAAAATAGGCATTCTCAAGTTTGCTTTTAGCTCAAGAGTTATTTGGCCTGTAGACCTTTAGGGGTCTACAAGTATCAACAATTCTTTAGAAAAAAAATTATTTTAGATTTGTTCATTTTATTTTACCTGTGTTTTACCTACATGTTTGCCTCCACATGCTGTGGAGGTCAGCAGAGGCCATTGGAACCCTGGAACTGGAGTTACAGATGGTTGTGAGCCACCATATGGATACTGGAATTGAACCCAGGTCCTTTGCAAGAGCAACAAGTGTTCTTAACTGCTAAGCCCTGTAGTTGTGACTCATAACTTTTTGTTTTATGTATATTTTCTGCAAATAGGATATAAAGTTATAAAAGACATCTAGATTTAAAAAATATATTTGTCATTTTACTAAACAAAACAGTTATTCAAGTATTTTATTTAGTATTCATGTGTGCATATAATATGTTTTGATCAAATCCATGCCCCTCCTCTCCAACCTCCTCCTTTTTCCTCCAACTTCATGTACTCTCTCTTAATATTTACTTATTTTTACTGCAAGTATTAGGTGTTTTGCCTGCTTGTATGTCTGTAAACCATGTGTATACCTGATGCCTACTGGGGCCAGAAGAGGGTATCAGATCCTCTGGGACTGGAGTTACAGGTGTTTATGGGGTGCCATGTGGGTGCCGGCAGTTGAATGTGGGTCTCTTGGAAAAGCAGCCATTGCTCTTATCCACCAAGCCATCTCTCTAGCCCTCCACCCCCCTCTTTTTAAATAACACAGTCCATTTGGTTCTTCCTGTATGTACATAAGTGTAGACTCTTTACTGAACATGGGTAGCCTCTCAGGGCTCCATCTCTGAAGAAAACCCACTCCCTCTCCTAGCAGCTATCCAGGGCCAATAGTTCCTCACCTAGAGGTGGAACTTTGTAAACCCCTAGCCTGTCCATCTTGGGATTTCAATGGGCTTGATCTTGTACAGATACTCCCTGTGGCTCTTATAGTCTTCACACACAGCCTTCCTTGTCCCTTGTTGTTCCCTAAGCCTTGGGGTCGGGGACTGGTATAGATGTCCCATTTAGACATCAGAGCATTTGCACATTGACTGGTTCTAGGTCACCATCTACTGTAAAAAGAAGCTTCTCTCATGAGTGTTGAGATACACAATCTGGGAATGTAAAGCTAAGATCTTAAGGAGCAGTTTGTTTCTATGTTCATTTAGCAAGATAATAGTTTTATGTTCTCTTCTAGATCCTTTCACCTAGAAGCCACATTTTGTCCCAGTTCTCAGTATCAGATATGGGGTCCATATTGTGGAGCAGGCTTTAAATCCAATCAAAAATGGGTTGGCTGCTCTTATAAAGTTCATGCCACCTTCATATCAGCAGGCAATTTTGTCAGGCCAGTTGTAGATCTTATGGCTGGGTAAGACTGTTGATGCTTTTTCTCCCCATGTAACATATATACAACCTTCTAACATCATGAAAACTGGCCTGTAGGGGATGTAGCTTCCAGGTTATTACCAGCTCTATTTTTCTATGTTCTGTGTACCAGATATGTAGTGTCTTCAGCAATAGAGTCTTACCATCAACTTCTGAAGAATGACCAAAAGCAATGGTAATAGCCTGTAATTTTGGAGGTTGAATTCATAGGAACTCATGGACCAATAGCTCAGAAAAAGGAAACTCATTCCTGGCTCTGAGTTTTTTATTTGATAGCCTGAGATATCTGGGCCAGTTGTCTCCTCCTACTCCCCTTGCCTGTTATTGGGTGGCTCCATGTAAACCCCCTTTATGTGTATGTGTGCATTTTAGGAAACCTCTACAAAGGTCTTCAGGGTTATCCTTCCCTCTTCTACCCTGACTTCCCATTTAGTCTTTCTTTTCCATTAATTCCTTCTCCCTTCATACCACCATTGTTCTAGCCCCCTTTCCTTGAAACCCTGCCCCTTTTATGTCCCCTTACTATTTCCTGCCTTCTATGGGTACTCCAGTTTAAATACATATATCTAAAGATTCAAAGCAAGTATCCTCATATGAGAGAACAGATGTGTGTCATTCATCTTTCCCAGTCTGGGTTACCTCACACAAAATAATTAGTTCTAATTTTACCTATTCATCTACAAATTTCAAAAATTCATTCATCTTTATAGCTGAATAGAATTCCATTTGTAGATATACTTCTACATTTTCATCACCTGTACATCCAGTTTCTACTTTTTTTGCTATTGTGAGTAGAGCAGCAGATAATGTGTATGAGTTCTCTGGAGTAGTATATGAAGTCCAGGAGCGGT